CTGGGAAAAACAGTATGTTAACCCTAGCAGTGCTCCTCTGAGCTCCCCGTTAAAGAAACCCTGGCACTTTAGCACAGAGCTTTTCAGCAGGCACTTGTATTTATTAGAAGCAGAAATAGCCTAAAGAAAGATGTGAAAAGAGCTCCTCGACTTCCAACAGCACCACCCTATTTGATAACAGCATTGTCTACTGCAGAGTATGACAAAATGCCTTCTTTGGAACTTGGCAAAATGTTGCATTTTCAGACAGAAACCTGTTACTTCTACATTAAAGCTGCATTTGCACCTCTGTATTTTGCTTGTCAGGGTTACCTTAATGTGCCAGGTGTGATTTCAAAGTGCTGCAATTTTTCTTGAATTCAGCATTACAAAGTACATGCTTTTGAAAGTTTCAGCCTCCTGGTGCACTCCTTTTGCAATGTTCGGTTAAAGAAGAAAAAGAAATAGCTCCATTGTCTTGCCTGCTCATGGGAAGCTGTACCAGGAAGGTGATGATCCAAGGAAAGGATGCAGTGTTTAACCTGGCACTGAACTTGCCTTTTAACTTTTTCAGCTGCCCTACACTGCATTAAGCTCAGCTCAGATATTTTTTAACATGTAGGAGAGCTGCCATTCAAGAAGACAAGCTAGTCACAGGAGATGGGGGAGGTGTGTGACCCTTTTTACTGTGTGAACAGTGTGAACACAGTGCAGCCCCAAAGTCTGGGATTCTTGCCTAGGGCCAGAGCTAAGTGTTGCAGCACCAGCAACTGGCACTATATAGCTCCTGGACCTAAGCACCCCTTGATGTGCTTAGCTTTGTTCTGTGCAGGAGAATGATATGGTAAATCAGTCAGGAGAACGCGATTATAGTCCCAGAAACCTCCAAGGTCTCAGCTGTCTGCACGGAAATTAAATGTCATAAAATTCAGGCATCCAGATTTTTCTGCTTTGCTTTTGTACATGACAAGTCCTTTCACAGTCATTCTCAGCATTCCTCCTGTGCTCCAAAAGCCCCTGGCACAAATCTGTAGTCATCAGGTGACACTTGATGTATATTTACTAGTTACATCACAGTCCCCTGTCTGAAACAAAATGGATGGGAATGTTTCTCAGAGTGAATGAAGTGGAAGTAATATGCAATTCTTGCTCTCCTGCTTTGTTTCTATTGATTTGCCAGATACAAAACTGCCTATCCCTACCCTACAAGCATTCCACTCCTTCCCACTGCAAACTCTAGGTGCTTCTTGGGGTCTTCTCCAGATATCCTGGCTGCTGGAGTGCTCTTTGCATTTCTGAAATTTGCTCTTGCTGATTGAAGGGAGTCAACTAAGGAAATGAGCTGCCTCCCTTTCCAACTGACTAGAGACCAAAGCAGCATCACAGTATCAAAGCAGGGCTGAGATCAGAAGGGATCTCTGGAGGTCACTTTGTCCAGTACCCTTGCTCAAAGGTGGTTGCCTACAGATGGTTGTCTAGGATGGTGTCCAGACAGCTTTTGAGGATCTCCAAGGATGGAGACTCCACAACCTCTCTGGGCAACCTGTGGTAGCTCCTTGTCAACCTCCCAGTGAAAAACCATTTCCTAATGCTCAGACTGCATCTCCTGTGTTTCAGCTTATTCCCATCACCTCTGGTCCCATCCCTGGGTATTGCTGGAAAGAACATGGCTCCATATTCTTCACATATTGACATACACTGATGAGGTCCTGCTTTCACCTCTTCTACTCTGAATAGTTCCAGAAATCAGATCAATAAATCACAGGATAAACTGGGTAGGTATTGCTCAATTTGCTTTCTTCTACTAAGAAGGTCATAAGCAAATGTTCCTTTCTTTTCCTGTTGTTTTCCCACTTTCCTTTTTTTTCCCCATGCATACATATTCTAAATGTCATGCTGTCACCTTTTTCCTTTGAATACTATGTACCTGGAATCTCTTTATATCACAAGAAGAAATGTTTAATCTGGAAGGGCACGTAAATAGAATAGCTCATGTAAGAAATATGAACTGGTTTGGTTAGTTTTAGGCATTGGACTGATTTATGACCGATTTATGCTTCCATGTGAATAAAACATAATCAGAAACTGTGGAGTGATACTACTGTGTATACAAAGAGGAGAACTGCTTCTGTTACTCATGGGAATGTATAAGACATAATCTAATTTTTAGAGGTTGTGAAATGTGTGCTACATGACTAATTCATTTCACTAATATCTGACAAGCCACTTTCATAATGGGAAAAATTATCTTCCTAGACAATTTGGTTTTTAACAACTTATCATAGTTGTTATTCTCCTAAGGGTGCACATTTTCCACATTTTGCACATTATGCAAAAAAATGGCATGGAATGAAAATGCTGATACACTAAAAACATGCATTTAGCTTCAAAACAGAAGTTTGTGGGTTATTGTTTTTTGAATACGTATAACCTATGCTCTTTGAGATATTTGTTCAGAAGAGAACCATGTATTTAATGTGGCTTCTGTTTACAAAAAGGAGAATATATTTTCTGGGGAAAAGAAACTAGATTACACTGCAGGAAAAGGTTTGATGTTGCAATGTTCAAGAGCGCTCAGATGGAAATTCAGCTCCAGAACCTGGTACTGAATTTAGGACATGGATTTTCCAGTTGTCTCAGTTTTTGCATTGCACTTAAATGTACTGTTGTAGTCATAGTGAATTGAATGGGATTTCCTGTAGAAGCAAAAAGCAAGATTTTATCTCTTTTGAGTTTAAAACCAGGTAACAACCTTGCTGACTTCAGCAGAATAGTTCTTGATTTATACCACTATAAACAGGGGCAAAGTCAGATTAGGAATGTATCTCAAAGTGACAGTATTCAGATGTATATTTAATCTTTGTTAAACTAAGCATTTGCAATAAAATGCACTATTCACTGCTCTTACTGTTCTCTCAGTACAAGCATTGTGAAACTCTTTAGTGGTAGTTTTAAAAATATTTTTAAATGTAGTAACAAGGACCCACAGTATCGAAAATGTTACTCTCCTCGTGTGATGCCTCTTCAGTATAAACCCAGTCCCATCTCCAAAACAGCAGAATTGACTGACAGAGCTAAAAGGTACCAGTTTAACTCCTCTGTGCAAGTCTGGCACAGATAAGGGGGAATACTTCCTTTGTTCTCCTGGATATTTGGATCCATTAGACACACCCCCAAGTGTCTTACTTGTTCTTTTCCATTTATGTTGGCCATTCCTTTCTAACAGGCCACTCTCTTCCACCCAAGACAAGCAGCTAGGGGAGCAAATGGTTGAAAAGGCTTGGAAGCTCCTATATGCATGGGATTTTCCCCTGGGCATGTTTTGTCTGGGTTGCTTTATGATGCAGAAGTCTTACTGGAAGAAAGAACTGGCCCTACAAGGTCTGGATACTTTACTGAGAGATGAATACTAGTTAGCATACATAATATCCACTACTGGTGGTGAAAGTAAGAAGAAATTAGCCAGTCATTTTGAGCTTATGCAACAAGCTGCACTCCTCTGACTGTGTTTTTTTCCAAAATTTGCTTGTTAACTATGATGCAGTATGTGCCATTTGTGCTTCAGGGGACTAAGAGTCTAAGTCAGTTTATTGGTGAAAGCAACAACTTTCTCATTAGATGTTAATGGCAATGTTTTGATTAGTCCCAGGGTTCTGGAAAGGAGTTAAGTCCTTCCTTCAATAACCACCAGTTACAGATGCAGCAAGTGTTAATAACCTCATAGGAAGCAAACTAGGCAGGCATACATTCCATCACCCAGAAAATGGATCTCATGTAGCTTTTTGACGGACTGCTCACACTTTAAACCAAAAAAGTATTTGATTTTTAATATGGAGATTTACGCTGTTTGCAGCAGCTAAAGCTGCAGTTCCATCATGTTGTATCCCATTTCTCTCAGTCCTGATGTTTAATGTGCTCCCTGCTACACAATTAAAGCTTAAAATGTCATCTCGTTGAGGAGTGGAGGTGAAGAAATTCAAACAGAAGCAGCAACTGTTTTCACACTTTTAGCAACTGTGCTCAGATGTCAAAAGAATAAACATGTGAAATCATGAAAGATTTTAATAGCTTCATATCTGACATGAGCTTTTAAAGCTACAAATGGACTTTTATAGGGAAACAAGAATATGCATGTGGGTTATGTGGGAACAGAAAAGGTCTTCATATGTGAGTGTGGCATGAGAGTTTTATCAAATGTTGGCCTAAAGGCTAACTGGAGCCTGGATTTCGTCTCTATGCCAAATGAGAGCAGCCAGCTGCTCTGTTCCTCCTACCCCATCACTGCTGCATCAAATCTTAGCTGGGGGAAACTTTCTGTTAAATTGAGCGCAGCAAATGACAAGGAAAACCCAAACTGAGGATTTGGAATGGTTTCTCTTTAGGCATACAGTAACCTTAAGAGATACTTTAGGGACACTTAGGGATACCCTTCATCCCAGATGAAGGGATGGGTTTGGTGTTTTTTTTAAAGGTTACCTTTGGAAGGTCTCTTAAGGTACACAGTAACCTTTCTGGAGACTGTGTCCTTAGGAATAGCCTTTCATGGGTAACAAGTCTGATCCTTGGGTTTTTTACCTCAGTAAAAAAAAAGGTAGACTGAATAAAACCACTTTTTCTCATAAGTAATTAGCTTAGATGTCTGCTACACTTTGCATTTTAGAAAATAACCTGAAGCTGCACAAAAAAATCTGGAACCTTTGTCATGGCCAAGAAGCATATCTGTTTTCTGCAGTGGGCAAGGCTTTTCCTGTGGATCTACTGCAGTTTTCCAGCCTCAGCACTGCTGTTAACTCAGGAAGCTCTTGAAATGCAGCCTGACTTCAGCACAGCACTAGGTTGTACTGACAAAACATAATTTACTGTAGTTTTAGCACAATAGGGAGAGAGATCAGGCAATATTAGTGACCTCTGCACATCACTGTGCTCTAATGATTTTTTCCCTGGCTTCATTTCAAACAGTTGCATGATAGCCTGATAACCATATTTTAAACTCGGTCATGCTTGATGCCGGCTTGACTTACCTTATTTGGATTGAAGGTCAGTATCTATGGCTTGATTTTCAGGCAGCTGAGGAAGCAGGGAGTGCTACTTGTCCTGCAAAGCACTCAGTGTTAACAACAGGCCTTTTGGTGCCACTCCTCTAAACCTTTAAAACTTGAAGATTGCTATCATTCAGCCTCAAACTGGCTAAAAAGCCCTCCTTACAGCTCTTATCCAGACTCCACCTAAAACAAAAGAGAAAATGCAGGAGTGGGTATGTATCAGAGATGGGAAGAATATTCAAACATTCCTAAGGATTCAACATGGTCACTCAACCTCCCATTCCAAGACATCTAGCACTGTCAGTCCTACTGTCTTAGTTTTCCTTATTACCAATTTATTCTAAAGAGAGAAGTTGGTACATGATAGTTTTGACATGACAGCAGTGTCATCAAAAACACTAAGAATCTCCTGCAGCCTTCTCAAGCCTTACTCATAAAAACCTTATGAAAATAACTACACACTCTTCTGCATGAAACCATGCCTGCTGGCTGCCTGAATGGTGCTAACAATATTCATAAAAAGGAGGTAACAAACCATGTATGTCAGCCCTATAACTAAATATATTTTCATAACAAACATTCTTCCTATACAGTTCTTCCTCTGTTTGCAATGATGAATAAATCCACAATAGTCCATGAGCTGGGACTTCTTGTTTGGCAGTTAATTCAACTTTTATGAACTAAGCTACCTGAAAATGGCACTTCTAATGACACTTTGTATGTATCAGTCTCTGCACATGCAGTATTTTGCTCTATAATTACCAGGAGGAACAAAGCAGAGGAACCAGTGATTTTTAAGGTTTCAGTCTACAACCAAGACCTTAAAATTTGTAAGCTGTATAGAATAAGAACACTTGATATACTAGAGATCTGGGCCTTTTGGAGCCTCCAAGGCTGACACAGAACATAGTTCCCTGCAGCCTTTCACCTGCAGAGAAGATCTAGATGTTCTCCAATATCCAGCCACGTGCTGCCACAAAATTTTAATATTTTCATTATCTCAAAGATCCTGTGAGTCTCTGTCAGGTCTCTTATAACAGAGAGGGAGGTTCCCAGATTTTATGTATACAAATGTGGATATGCGCAGAACACGTTGAGAACAGTCATTTATGTAGGAAACTACGCTGATATTTGAGCAAGTCAGTCAATAAAAAGTTGGGCAATTCTCAAGACAGCTGTTAAAAAGCTTGATAAACATCAGCAAAGTCTATGAATGGGACTGAGCACTTGCAACAGAACTGTGTACCATGGCATCCCAACATCAGTCTCTTGAGTACTGCAAGCCTGCATGGGTTAATCTTAGAGTATCACCAAGAACAGCCTCAACAGAAATGAGACTTTCATTCAGTGGTCACTCAGTCTTACTTAAAAGGACACTTTCCAATTAAACTTCAATGACATCTTCTGAAAAGAAGTTTTACACCTACTATATTTCTTTTGGACAAAACAGTCTGCTCAGCTGTATTCCCAGCTGTAAACTCTGCTTCTCCCAGCTTGCTGGCATCCACAGCTATTTAGAAAGAACCTTTGTTACGTCAACTGCTAGGATTTTCTACAGTACATATTACATCACCTTTCCTGAGAAACTTGTCTGTGCAGATGCCTTTTCTTACTTTCTTGTTTCATAATGTCCTTCACATTCCTCTTCCAATATTTGTTGTTCTCTCTCAGCTGCTGGCATTTTAAGGAAAGGTTACATAGCAAAAGGGTCACTAACAGAGCTTTTTTCTCCCTGCCCCATACTCCTTGAAGAGAAGCTTTCTCTGTGTGGCACCTTTAGAGAAAGGTTTAGAGAAAGTTTCCCTTAAGAAAAATCTACAGCACTCTCTGCCAGTTTCAGAATAAGAAAATAAATTTGGAGCATAGATTACCTTGGCCATTTTAATTCTAAAGTGAAGAAGCAAGGAAAAGAAAGAGACAAAACCAAACAAAGACCAAATTATGCTGTAGTGCAAGTAAAAAGCCAAATCCCTTAATTTCATCCTCATCCCTGATATTTGGGTGACTATGCCTCTGATCAATCTCTTGTGCCTCTCCTTACTTCTTGTTCAGTCTTGGTCCTTATGAAACAGCCTTGGAAATCAACAGTCATAAATCTTTCAAAATGCACTCTACATAAAGATGTACCAACTGAAGTGTGGTCTGGAGACAGCTGAAGATATTGGGAGCCTAGTCAATTCAGGTCCAAAGCCTTCAAAGTAGGCAAGGTAAAAATGAAGTGTGTTACATCTGGGAACAGTATTTGGAATAAACTGGGAATGAAGCACAGGAAAAAAGAAAAGGTAGACATTTCTAACCTTAGGTGTATAAATTTGAGTGGCTTAATACACAGGCTCACACCCACCTGTGAGCTGGCACAGGGGCTGGCTGCTTGCTGTTTATTGATGCAGGCTCTTGTACACTCCCTCCTTGCAGCATGGGGTGTGTGTAGGGGACATGTCCAGCCTGTCATAGGGCTTCAGCTCACAAACATGGTAAGGATGCTTATTTTGGCTACTGCTAGGTGGCTGAACATGAAGTTGAGAGGTATCTTTTATCCAAATGCAGCTCTTTCTTCTAAAAACAGTGGCTCCCACATGATCTTCTTGAATAGTTTGAGTTTTTCTATATAAACAATGGAGATGGAAATCTAATTTCCAGTCTAGGAAGGGAAACACAGCTAAGTGAACACTGTTAGCAAGGGCAAGCATATTATCTCTGCCTGTTTGACAACCCACTGAGTTGAACAAAACCTTTTCATTAGCTGCAGTAGTCTTTATTACACTCCATTTGAATGATCTGTTTAGGATTAAACATTTCTTGAAAGACACACTTTTAATGCTTTTAATACCAAAGCATTTTTCATTCCATTTGCTTCATTTTAGCAAAATGCTGAATGATCTGTGTCATGTTTAACACAAAGTGTAACTGAAGCACCTAACATCCTGCAGAAGTGCTTTCTGGACTTGTGTTTTTTAAGAGATCTCTGAAAAATCAACATTAAAAAACACAAGCAAGCAATTTTGAACAAGCAGGCATAAATTTAGTAGAAATAAGCCCCCATCTTTACTGGAAAATCTTTAAAGAGGTCATAAAAACCAAAACAAATAAAACCATTCAAAACCACTGTGCTTCAACAGCAAAATCATTTTAAATTTAGATTAATCCTTTTAGGATCAGGGGTCCAGACAGATAACTAAAGCAATGGATAACAAAACAGCCAAGCACTGGCATCCAGTTAATGTATCAGTATATGGATGATGGTATATAAACAATGCTAAAAAAAGAGGAAAATTATTAAAGCAGAAGACAATACCTCATTTACTGTTCTGCTGGAATTACTGCTTAGGAAGTCACTAATACACATTCATTATGAATACTAGAAGCGAGCACAGGCAGAAACTTGCCTGTTACCCAAATGAGTATGACTAGTGCTTAATGAGTCTTTTACTAATCTTTCTTAAAGCCTGAACTTCACTTCCAGAAAGGCAAGATTATTTGAGAGGTTCCATTTTTCCACTTAAATGCAGAATCAGACACATGGAGTTCTTTGAAGGGGTCTTTGGGTTTTGGTTTCTCCTGAGCAAAAAGAGTATCAGAGTAACAAAGCCCAGAGAACTTGCTTCAAACTTGGTTAGCTGACCTCCAGTTCTGTGTTGGTTTGGTAATTTTATTCTCTTTTCTGGAAGAAAGAAAAGAAGAGGGAAAAGAAAACCAAAACAAGGAAAACTAGTCCAAAGCAGAATTCTGCTCTTGTTCTGGTTGATCTGTTTAGGATTTTGTCACTGGCTCCTGCTAGACCAGAAAAGACTTCTGTGTATGAAAAGCAGCACCTTTCCCATGGCAGAGAGGGATCCCCATGCCCCTTTTTACAGAAATCACTCACAAGACTGCAAGTGCTTTCCCACTTTTCCTGTCTTAGGAGTCTCAGGTGAAGAGACAGCTGCCTCATGCCAACCTATTGTGAAACATTGGACATGAGGTGTGTCTTCCAAAAGGTCAGAATCAGGATTGCAATGCCCAAGTCAGATGCCTAAAGTAGGGAGGCAGTCTCAATCCAGATTACCTTTTCTCCTTCCTGAAATGCTGAAGTTGCTGATTTTCCCAACTTGCCTTTTCAGTTGCTAAGGATTTATGTTAGAAAGAGGTAATACAGCAACTTAGGTTTTACAGCACAAAAAAATGTTGCAATGAGAGATTCAGCTAATGGTATTGAGGAGCACTTCTGTCACATACCGAAGCCCTGTGCAGGATGGGCTGCTGTCACAGGTAAATCCAGCTGGCTTAGTAACAGACTGGAAGCTGTGGCTTCTACAGAGAAAAGGCAGACTCATGGCAAATCAAAGGATGTGACATAGGAAGGGAACTTCCCCTTCCATTTTTACCCCTTCCTCTCTTCATACTTTATTTCTTGTCCTCCCACTCTTGCAAAAATCCAAAATGGTCATGTTATAGCTACAGACGATGCCAAAGATTTGTCTCCTCTCTCGCTCTCTCTCTCTCTCTCTCTCTGTATGAGTTAATCATTTACAGCAAGCTTTCTGGGGTGATGAATCAGTAACACAAAGAAAGGACAGATTAGATGTGATATTTATTTTCCTCTTCTTTTTTTTAAGCATGGCTGTCCCCACTGCCTGAAAGAATGGAGAAAAGGGTAATCAAATGCACTGCAGCTGAAAGCTGTAAGGGTAACACCTTCAAAGTCTGCAGCTTTTCATAAAAAGCTTGCAGTTTTTGTATTCTTTTTGCTGTATGTTTACTCCGCAACACTGTTTTAGAAGTTGCAACATTCATCTTTAAACATTAATTACCAAGGCATGATTGCTTCAAAAATCCACTGCCCGAGGCCAGGGCCTAGGAAGTGGAAAATGTAATTTCAGAAAGTGATGAGAACAAATACTGAGCCTTTTAATTGCAGGTTGGTACAAATGACTAACAGTAAAGCAAAGCTCATTTTGGACAAATTTGTTGTTCTGCATGTCAAATTCAAAACTTAGCAGTGAGTTGCCTGGGGTTTGTTCTTTCCCCGTACTTTCTTTGTAAAAGTCAGAGAAACATTAATTTTTGAGAGGTACAGGGAGTATTCTTCTAAAAATTTGGTTAAAATTATTTACAAGAGAGAAAGGAAGAGAGGAAGAAAGCAAGGAAGAAAGAAAATAAGGAAGAAGAGAAAGACTACATGATGCATGCAAAGTCAGGCAATA